AAACCCTATACAGGGTCACTGTGAGTAGGAACCCAACTCTATAGCACTTAATATACATATACATGTGTGAGTATATAAATACGTATACATGTGTGTCTATACTTATGTATATGTGTGTATTTGTTATTGTTAAGTACCGTGGAGTTGGTTCTGACTCATAGCGACCCTGTACAGGGTTTCTGAGGCTGTAAATCTTTACGGGAGCTTTGAAAGCCTCATCTTTCTCTTGCGGAAGAGCTGGTAGTTTTGAACTGCCGACCTTGAGGTTAGCAGTCTGATTCATAACCACTACGCTACCAGAGCTCCTTATATGTAGTGTATATATACACACATATACATGGACTCCTGGCGTGGCACTGTAGGATCAGCATTGGACTGCCATCCACAAGGTCTACAGTTTAAACCCACCAATGACTCCTCGGAAACCCTATACAGGGTCATTATGAGTCCAAACCGATTCTATACAACAGCAACAATGCATACGGTGGTGGTGGTATGCCATGGAGTCAGTTTTGACTCATAGGGAACCTGGATAGGGTTTCCAGGACTGCAAATCTTTACAGAAGCAGAAAGCTTTCTGCTCCCATAAATACACAGCCTCATCTTTCTCCCGCAGAATGTCTGGTAGTTTCAAACTACACATATATAGATAGATAAGCGCAGGATTGCAAAGTCAGCTTGAACTACAAGGTTGGTGGTTCAAACTCACTAGTCACTCCTCAGAAATCCTATGCTGGCTTGCTATGAGTCAGAATCGACTGGACAACAACACATATATGTTATATGCATATGTATATATATTCCTGGTGTGGCACTGAGGGTTAATGCGCTGAGCTGTAAAGTTGGTTTGAACTCACCATTTGCTCCTCGGAAAACCCTATACAGGTTCACTGTGCATTGGAACCGACTCAACTGCACTAAGCAACATATGGAGTGCACTAAGCAACATATGGAGTCCTGGTGGGGCACTCACTCAGGATAAGCACTGAAATGCTAACTGCAAGGTCAGCAGTTCAAATTCCTGGGAAACCTCATCACAGGGTCACTGCAGGCTCACTGTGAGTAGGAGCCCGACTCTATGTCTCTTAACACCACCAGCAACAGCGCTCTTTCTGGAGTCCTTGGTGTTGTTGTGAAGTGCTGTCAAGTCGGTTTTGACCCATAGCAACCCTGTATAGGGTTTCCGAGGAGCAGCTGGTGAGCTTGAACCGCCGACCTGGCAGTTGAAACGGCTTTGCTGTCCAGTGCATTAGCCCACAGAGCCACACCAAGGCTCCTCTGGAGTCCCTGGGTGGTTGTCAATGGTGAGCACGTTCAGCTGCTAACCTTACAGCATTACCGGTCACACTCGTCCCCTCCAAACCCTTGTCCCCTTCCAGTCAATGCTATCTTCCTAAGGCTAGAGCTTTTATCATGCCCCTCCCTGGCTTCAAGCCCTTGGAAGCCTGCTCTTGGGACAAAGTTCAAATTCCTTCAGTGATCAGTGAGGTTCCTCATTACCTCTCCAGCCACCCCACCTCTCTCACCCTCAAACCCCATGCTCCAGCCACACTCTTGCACCTCCCTCCGCTACATCCTCCCTATGTGCAGAATGCCCCTCTCCCAACTTGCCTCTGCCTGTTCCACCGTCTTCCAGTCTCATGTGAGATCCTTCTTCTCTTTGAGCCTGAGTCAGAACTGTCTTCACTTGTTCTGTGAAGTCCCTACGTGCTGGACTTGACCTATCAAAGTTCCTATGCTGGACAGGAAATATTTTCTGATGGCATCTCTCCCCACACACAGCAGTAATAGTCACAAGGGGAAGGACTGACACGTCTTGTTTGTCCTTATCTCCTGCTCTCTGGGAGCAGGACATGCCAAATCAGGAGCATGCAGAAAATAATGGATGAGCAGATGGGTGTATGGGGGATGGACGGGTGGGCGGGTGGATGGCTAGGTGCCTGGATGAATGGAAGCATGGATGAGTGGGTGGATGGATGGGTGGGTGAGTGGATGTATGGAGGGCTGATAGTTGAGTGAATGGGTGGGTAGGTGTGTGCATAGACTAATGTATGGGTATATGGGTGGATGGATGGATGGATGGATGGCTGAGTAAATGTATGGATACATGACTGGGTGGATAGATAGATGGATGAATTATGGGGAATGGATGAGCGGGTAGATGAGAAGATTAATGAGTACACTGCTGCCTCGTTGGTTGAGTGGATGGATGGGTGGATGGGTACATGAATGAATGGATGTGTAGATGAAGAATGGATGAATGGGTAGGTGTATGGATAGATGCATATGTAGATGAGTATGTGAATGGATGGGTAGATGGATGGATGGATGGAAGGGTACATGAATGAATGGATGTGTAGATAGATAGTGGATGGAGAGGTGGATGAGTGGGTAGATGGATAGACAGACAGGTAGGTAGGTGAATGTGTAGATGGATGGGTGGATGGGTACATGAATGAATGGAAGGGTGGATTGAATAGTACATTATCAAGGTGTTATGTTCTGGACTGCAAAGTCAGTTTGAATCACAAGGTTGGCAGTTCAAGCTCACCGGCCGCTCCTCAGAAAACCCTCTACGGGGTCGCTATGGGTCGGAATTGACTTGCTGGCACTTCACAACAACATCCGGCTGTTACAGGTCTCTAGAGCAGGGGCCTTGGGCTTCACTGGGTGAGTTGTATTGGAGGGTGTAGGGGGCAGGATCTTGATTACAGCTGTGAATTAATGACTAGTCCCTCGGTGGGGGTTGCCAGTCTCGGCACTTTATATGGTTACTTCTCTTCATCCTCGTGGCAGCCCTTCGAGTGAGATAGCTTCCATTGCTAATTATTTTAATGACATTTCTGAATAGTTTATACTTGCAGAGGTACAGCACCTTAAAGGTACAAGCGTATAGGCAACTCAAAGGAAGCATTTCTCACGGAAGAACCTCGGGACTGTGGAAGATGTGGTAGAAACTCAATGAAATGACACTGGGCACATGGAGAAACAAGCCCACAGGGATCGGGGCCAACAAGTGGGCAACAGTAGGCTTGACATCATGTTGAGCAGACTCAAAACACTTTCTCTCACCCTAGTAAGAAACATGGGCGAAGAGGGCAGCTCTGGTGTGGGGGTCATAGGTTCAGGGGCAGAAAGGCTCACGGGTGCCCCAAGCGCCCATCAGAAAGGTGGGACAGCCAAACAATGGAGTGTTATTCAGCTGTAATGTGCCGAGTGAAGTCTGTTAGACAGACAAGGAAACACGCTGTATGAAGTCATCTTGATGAGCTACCTAGAAAAAGGCATTGCAGAGAGACCCGAGGTTATTGGTGGTTCCCAGGGGTGTGTGGGAGGAAGTCCATGGGAAGGGATTGCTTAAAGGGTGCCGGGTTTCTGTTAAGGGTGAGTAACAAAGTTTGGAACAGCGATGATGGTTGCACCACACAGTGAAGGTCATTCATGGCACTGCATGGTTATGTGCAAAAGGTTGAAATGGCTCATGTTTAGCACATGACTCAGTGTGCCGACAGGACCGAGTAGAACCATGCTCTACACGGTTTCCAAGGCAGGAGCAGACAGCCTCATGTTCCTTCCCAGGAGCGGTTGGTGGTTCGAACCTGCAATCTTTTCATTAGCAGCAGAGTGCCTTAACCATAGTGTCACCAGGGCTCCTGTGTAGTGTGTGTGTGTGTGTGTGTGTGTGTGTCGGGGTGTGTGTGGTATATACATATATGGGGAACACTGGACCACAAGGTCAACTTGAACTGCAAGGCTGCTGATTCAAACCCACCAGCTGCTCCTTGGAAACCCTACAACAGGGTCACTGTGAGTCAGAACCGACTCAACGGCACTTCACAACAAGACACATCTATATGGGGAGCATGATGGCTCCAGATGATAAGTGCTGGACTATGGACCACAAGGTCCATGATTTGAGCCGTCAGCTGCTGCGCAAGAGAAAGATGAGGCTTTCTGCTTCCACAAAGAAATATATATATATATATGTAAATATATATATATATATATATATGTTGCTGTTGTTGGGTGTCATCGAGTTGGAACCGACTTAACAACATATGTGCATATATTTATTTCTGGGCACTTAACAGAAACGTATATGCATAGATATACGTTTCATATGCATATGTTATTGTTACATGCCTTTGAGTCAGTTCTGACTCATAGTGGCTTTATGCACAACTGAATGAAACATTGTCCGGTCCTGTGCCAACCTCACATTTGTTGTTGTTTCAGCCCATTACAGCTGTCACTGTGCCAAAGGGTCTTCTTCCGCTTTTTCTCCCACCCTCCACTTTACCAAACATGATATCCTTCTCTAGGGACTGGTCTCTCCTAATATGTCCAAACTATGAGAGATGAAGTCTGGCCATCCTGGCTTCTAAGAAGCATTCTGGTTGTACGTTTTCCAACACAGGTTGGTTTGTTCTTCTGGCAGTCCACGGCACTTTCAATATTGTCCTCCAAACACCAGAACTCAAATGCATCAATTCTCCTACCATCTTCCATATGTATTTGTTGCTGCTGTGTGCTGTCGAGTCGGTTCCTATTCGTAGTGACCCTGTATAGTGTTTCTGGGAGTGGCTGATGGTTCTGAATGGGTAACCTTTCAGTTACAAGTCCAGAGTTTATCTTACAGCCTCTCACCAGGGCTCAACTCTGTGTGTCTGTGTGTCCAGGGAGTCCTGCCGGCACTGTGGGTTCAGTGGACTGATAACTGCAAGGTTGGTTGTTCTCATCCATCGGCTGCTCTGTGGGAGAAAGCTGAGGCTTTCTGCTGAGGACTGATAGTCTCAGGAGCGGTTCTACTGTCCTTCAGGATTGCTGAGTCAGACTTGAGTCATTGGCAGTGGGTTTGGTGTTTTGACACACACACACACAAACTTAAATCACAATACACATTTATAAAAAAGCACATACTGTGCCTAGGGACAGGGAGACAGGTGACCAGAGCAGGGGTTTGAGCAGGTGTCAGTGTACAGTTGGCATGGAGACCTCACATGGCTGGCTTCAGGTGTGGGCACCCGGGTGCTTGAAGGGTGGTGCTGAGGGCTGGGCAGAGCCAGACTGAGATCCTGAAGGGAGTCACTGCTTGTGGGGCTTGGAAGGCAGGAGGCGAGAGCTGGGCGAAGAGAGAGGAGTCACACCTGATGGAGGAGACTATCCTTGTTCTACCTGCTCCCCGTCCCAAGGTGTTGGTTAATCACCTTCTGGCACAGGGTGGGAACCCGCCCACACAGCCATCCTGCCTGGGGTGGTAGTGCCTGACTGAGACTAGGCTGTTCCAGGGGCTGTACCCACAGTCCCCTCTGAGTCTGGTTTCTGATTCTCAGAGCTGGCCTGCGGCCAACACAGGGTGTGTGGGTCCCTCTGTCCTTCACCCTCACCCCTGGCTTTTGCTTTACCACCCATGGGTTTTGTAACTGACGGCAGCTCGGAACCTCAATCTTCTCTGTAAAATGGGAGTGAGCAGGAGACACACTGTGTGGAAGCCCCTAGCAAATATGTGGCAGATGTTAGCTATTGCTTCTCCCCCTCTTTCTGGGCCTCAGTCTCCACATCTTCAAAACCAGAGTAGGGGCATTGGTAGTCCCACGGAAGAATTCTCGCTTTCGAAGTGGGATTTAAGGTTCGATTCCCGGCCAGTGCATCTCATGCCCCACCCATCAGTGGAGGATTGGGAGTTTCTAGGACACTGAATGTGTTTCAGCAGAGCTTCCAGATTTAGACAGACTAAGAAGAAAGGCCTGGTGATCAGCTCTGGAAAACCAGCCAGTGAAAATACTGTGATGACAATGGTCCAATGTGTAATAAACAGATTATGGGGATGGTACAGGGCTGGGCAAGCTCACCAGCTGCTCCTAGGAAACCCTATACAGGGTCGCTATGGGTTGGAACCAACTCGATGGCACTTCACAACAACAACAACAACAACAACAGGGCTGACCAGCATTTCCTGTACTGTGCATGGGGTGGGGGGCATGAGTCAGAAGGCAGACTCAACAGCAACTGATAACAATGACAAGAGATCATTGGAGCATCAACCCATTTAACAGATGAGGAAAATAAGACGCAGGAGGTAAATTTGTCCAAGGTCACACAGCAAGTAAGTACGACTCTTATCCTGGGAGTGGACCCCCTTCCCAGGAGTGGACCTTGTCACTGAGTGGGGGGGGGACTTTGGGGGAGGGCACCCGTTCTGATGCTAAGGAACACAGGCTCCACCTGAAGTTTGGGCTGAACTCCGCAGCTGGTGGGGTGTGTGAGTCACACAGTCACAGACACTACACTTGTCGACTCTCGGGATTAGAAACTAGAAGATTCGCTCTGGTGCTAATCGTGACCAATCTCTCTCTCTTGTTGACTTTCTGTAACAGAAAATAGCTCTCAGGTAGGTTCAGTCTTGAATGGTGGCACAATCCAGTTGCTAGGAATCGAGTCGGTTCCGACTCAGTGTCTTCATGCACCAACAGAATGAAACACTGCCTGGTCCTGGGCCAACCTCACAGTCGTTGCCATGCTTGAGCCCATTGAAGCAGGCACTGTGCCAATCCATTTTGCTGAGGGTCTTCCTCTTTTTTCTTGGACTTTCCACTTTACTAAACATGATATCCTTCTCCAGGGATTGGTCTCTTCTGACAGCCTGTTAAAATTAGTTTGGACTTCATAGGATCACTTTCCCCTTGCATTCAGTTACGTCACTGCAAGTGTCCGACATCACACCAATGCAATCCTCAGAGAGGCTGTCTGGGGTTGGAATGGGGGCTCCGTTGTCATCAGGGAACTGGGTTCCTTCTGTCTTGCTTTGTCTCCTCATGGTCGAATATGGCTGCGTGCGCTCTGGCTATCAAGGCTGTATTCCAGTCAGAGGGAAGAAGGAAGGGAATGAGAAGGGCACATCCCTCTTCCTTTAAGGACACTTCCTGACAGTTCCACGTGACAGAAGTTAGAACATGACCACAGGGAGGTTGGGAAATGGAGCGTTCATTCCGAGCAGTCATGCGCTCAGCTAAGCCACGTGCTCAGAGATTTCATGTAAAGGAAGAAGCAGGGGGAGCAGGTACTGGGTACTGGGGGGGGGGGGCAGCCCCAGTCTCTGCCAAGGACCGCTTTTCCATCTGTGAGCAAGACAGAAAGTGTTCTTTATTTAAAATTAAGTGAAAAAAGAGAGTAGCGTTAAAGAAAAAAATGAAGTGAATAAAAGACCAAATACATTGCGAAACTGGCCCTTGGATCACCGGGCTTCGGGGGCAGTATCTGTGAGCTGAAGTAAAAAAGAGAGGCATTTAACGGCAGGATTGAGGCAGGACAGGTTTTGTGTTTAGGAAGTTACATGTGGTCCCAGCGTGGACAGTGGCCCGGGACAGGGCGAGAGCAGGAGACAGCACTGTGGAAGGGATTGTTGCTGTTTTAACAGACAGGCAGCAGTACAGCCACGCAGGAGAGGTGGCGCAGGAAGGGCAGGGGAGGCCCAAGAAGGCATACAGGTGTCAAGACCAGGCGAGAAGGTTTCCACCCACCTGCCTCAGTTTACCTAGCAAGTGCAGACCAGGGCCACTTGTGGGGTCAGAGAAGAATGAAATAGGTTGACTAGTGGGTGGAGGTAAAGGAGGCTGAGGGTTTCTGAGCAGGCTTTGGGGCCAGCTGCACTCAGGGGATTCAGAACTGAGTGTGCAGTGGAAGAAAGGCCTGTCAGGGCGTTGCTGTGGGTACACGGGAGCTGTGTGGCGGCTGACTCTTTCCCTCTCACCCGCAACAGTAAGGCATTAGCACGGAGACAGGATGTGGAACCAGCTCTGGCTGATCCCGGAGCCTTTGTCTGACTCGCTGCCTGCAGTGTTCTGGTGCAGAGGGCAGTGTATGGTGTGTGAACGGTGGATGAACGGGTGGAAGGCAGGATCCAAGCTCCTGCTTACGTACCCAAACATTCTCCTTCAGAAGAGCCACATGAGTCCCCCCAGGGGACTCTCGGTGAGAAGGGTCCGATTTTTCCAGAATAAAAGGCTGTGGGGACCGTAAGGTCAGCTCTTCGTGCTCCACCAATGGGTTTATGTCCGGTGCTGCCTGTGGTCTCAGTGGCGTAGTTTGGGAGCACCGGAAAGCCTGATCTTCACTTTTGGGGTCACCCCTGTGATGCTGGGAGATGGCTTGCGGTGAGGCAGGAGCAGGCACAGGAAGTCCTTCCAAGGAGAACTGAGGAGGACAGGAAGCTGCCCGAACCGTCCAGACTGCCCAGTGCCATGGTGGATTACAGACTGGACTGGTGCAATCCATAGGGTTTTCAGCAGCTGATTTTTTTTAAAGTAGATAACCAAGCCTTTTTTCCTACTGTTGTTGTTGTTACGTGCCTTTGAGCTGGTTCCGACACAGCCACCTTGTATAGGGTTTACGAGGAACGGCTGGTGGATTTGAACCTCTGACCTTGCGATCCAATGCTTACTCTGCAGTGCCACACCAAGACTCCCAGCGATGTCATTCTCCACTGACAGACTTTGAGCTGCTCATGAGATGCGTTGGCAGGGGAACAGAGGCATCCTGGGAAGGTGGTTTCACTACTAGTATATAGGAAGTGCTCATGAGACACAGGCGTGGGTCCTGTCTATCATGTGTCCCTGGTCCTGGGACCTGTAGGCGTGCTTGGGGACAGAGAAAGTGCAGCCTCACCTCCCAGTTGCCTGCTTTCCGAGGGCAGCCGAAGGACCCTTGTGAATCACTGTTTTACAAACAAGACAAAGCAGCTTTCAGATTCACTTACAGACAACAAATAGTAGTAGTAGCTATGTGCGTGGAGTCGGTTCCGACTCATAGCGACCCAGTACAGGGTTTCCAAGGCTGTCCATCTTTACGGGAGCAGAAAGCCTCATCTTTCTCCCGCGGGACAGCTGGTAGTTTCGCTGCTGACCTTGCGGTTCGCACCCCGATTTGTAAGCACTACCCTACCACAGCCAAACAAAGTGAAGATGAAAACCACTACCAGGCTCCCACTTACCTTACATTGGTCTCCTCCCAGCAGCAAGCTATGCTTAGCAGCTCCCCTCTGCCCCAGGGTGGGGTTCTCACTGGAAACACACCCTTCTGTCCTCCCTCTTCCTGTCCCTTGTCCCTCGGGGCTCCAGCCTGGACCACCCCGTGGTGGCTGTGAAACTGGCTTTTCAGTGAGTTAGAGGGTCCCTGCCCATGGAGATCAAAGCCAGGACAATTAATCCTGTTTAGCACTTGGTGATTAAAGGCGGATTCTGCCTGAGGCAGAGCGCTATCAGCAGCTCCACCCTGACCTGACTCAGAATCTCAAGTTTGAACTGACTTCTGAGATTCTGAGAGATTTTGAAACAGACCGTGTGTGGGGTGTGTAGGTTCACCGCCCCTGGCCCCACTGTCCACCTCTCCACGCACACCACTGGTGTCATCCAGTGGCAATTCATCTCTCTCTCTCACATTACCTGGATTATATGAAGAAAAACCTATACCAGGATTGGAGGAAGACTCATTAACCTGTGATATGCAGATGGCACAACCTTACTGAAGCGAAGAGGATTCGAAGTGCTTATTAATGAAGAACAAAGACCGCAGCCTTACGGTATGGGTTACACCTTAATGTAAAGAAAAGTCCAAATTCTCACAAATGGACCAATAAATAACATCATGAGAAACGGGGGAAAAGATTGCATTTGTCAAAGACTTCATTTTGCTTGGACCTACAGCAGCTCTGGTAGCGTAGTGGTTACGAATCAGGCTGCTAACCTCAAGGTCAGCAGTTTGAAACTACCAGCTGTTCTGCAGGAGAAAGAGGAGGCTTTCTGCTCCCATAAAAATTTACAGCCTCGGAAACCCCGTACAGGGTCACTATGAGTCGGAATCGACTCGACAGCACTTAACCACAGCATCAGCAGTCATGAATAAATGACATGTCACAACAGGCAACTCTGCTACAAAAGACTTTTTGAAAGTGTTAAAGACGACATCAGTTTAAGGACTAAGGTGCGCCTGACCCAAGCCATGGTATTTTCAATCACCTCATATGCTTGTGAAAGCTGCACAGTGAATAAGGAAGACCATAGAAGAACTGATGCTTTTTGAGTTATAGTGTTGGCGGAGAATATTCAAAGTGCCATGGACTGCCAAAAGAACCAACAAATCTATGCTGGAAGAAGTGCAGCCAGAGTGCTCCTTAGAGGCCAGGACGGTGAGACTCCATGTCATATCCTTTGGACATGTGATCAGGAGGGACCAGTCCCTGGAGAATGACATCATGCTTGGTCAAGTGGAGGGCTAGAGAAAAAGGGGAGGACTCTGAGATGGACAGACGTTGTGGTAGTAACAATTGGGAGGATGGCGCAGGGGCTGCGGAGACACCGCTGGGCACCCACTTCCCCTGTTCCTCGTCGGCACCTTTGCCAAACTCTGGTGGTTGGGGTGCTGCTGACCGGAAGCTGAAAGGGGCCGAGGACTGAGAGGCAGGCAGGTTCTGAATGCTGCCAAAAGCAAGAGGTGGAGTCACCCCAGGGTCCCTGCGGAGGAAGGGACACGGTGTTTTCAGCCAAGCCAACACCTCTTCTGACTTGTGACCCCTCAAGTGTACGGGCAGGCCCCATTGTCAGGAATCTGCTTTTGGCTGCCGCCCCTGCTCCAGGCCTGGGGGCTCCAGAGGTGGCTGGCACCGGTCTACAGATTGTGGTGAAGGGGACCAGACGGAGCAGCCAGAGGCAGGGGAAAACCAGGAGGGAGGAAGTGAAAACAGTAAGCAGGAACTGGTTAAGAGAGGCAACGAGAGGCCTGGGCAGTACAGGGACCCACAGAGCCTGGGGACCTGCCAAGTCCAGGGTTTCACTGGGGTGGGGGGAGTGGGGCTGGGCTGGGGCATCCCAGGGAAGAGGCAGGTGGGGACAAAGCAGGTGGAGGGGGCCTGTCAGGAACAGCTACCCCCACCTGGGGCTGTGTAGAAGGGGGACTGTTCAGGGAAAGGGGCTGCAGCTTGGGGCTGGCCAGGTGGAAAAAACACGGGCTCTGGTCAAGCTCAGCTTCCAGGCCAGGCCCACTGTGGGGCTCGTCCCCCTCCTTAGGAGAGACAAACAGGGCTCCAGCCGACGGAGTTCAAGTAGCTGTTTTCTAGAATGATCACCTTCTATTTCATCGTAAACATAATGGACCCTGGCCCACAAACTGTAGCTGCCGGAAGTCACATGTGCTAAACCCAGCAGTCCCTGCCCCGCAGTGGCTGTCTGTCACCTGTGGAGACTTGCTCGGCACCTGTCCCCCACCCTCAGGGCAGAGGACAGCCTGTAGGTCCAGCTGGGGCTCAGACGCGCTGCTCATTTTAGTGTCCAGGATGCAAGTCGCCACAGCTGGGTGAATCCCACACGGCGTCCAGAGGGGGCCCCCTATACGCAGCTGAGAGCATTTCTAACCCAGGAGGCCTGAGAAGAATAGATTTATTACAGAAAACGTGGGAACTACAGAAAGTGCAAAGACATGGCTGTTTGGTCATCTCAAAAACAGTGGGTATGTCCCTAGCCAGAGCGGCGCCCATCTTAGTACCCGTGGGAGCACTTGAGCGCCTGCCTGATCCCGCATGTGACAGATGTGGCCTGGTGGTGCAGGGGTTTAAGCGCTTGTACTCCTGTCGGTGGTCCCAGGGTGAAAGAGGATTTCTTTAAATTATGGGCTCCAGCTCCCTGGTCAATTCTGTTACCAGGTAAAATGTGATTTTGGTACTGACTCAAGAGGATCCTGGGAGACATCACTGTAGAGAAGTGCTGTTGGCGTGTGCCAGTCTGGAGGTCTGTGAGGGCTCAGGGCTGGTGTCTCGGAGTGCTTACTGGACACCAGGGCTGTCTCTCCTGCTGGAAGACTTGCCTCCCCGGGGTGGGCACAGTCACGCCAAGAGGGTTGCAGACCCCCGCTCGTCTGCAGCTCTGTGAGGGAACGCGTCTGTCATGCTCAGTGTCAGGTCTCCTGGGGGGACATCCCCGGGGTGGGACTGTCCAAGTCCCCGTTCTGGAGGTGTCCTGCCTGCCCCTCCTCCAGGAGGTCAGCCACCAGGTTCAGGCAGCAGGCCCTAAGGGCCACCACCAGCTGGGCCACTGTGGCGTGTTCCCTGCGGGCCGCCTTCCAGGTCCTCAGCACTTCCCTCACCTGCTCTGTCAGGTGGCGGGGATGCCGCTCTACGATGGCTTCAATCTTGGCGTCAGAGAGCTGAAGGTGGCGCGCCAGCCGCTTCCAGTCCTTCCCCACGTTGTCACAGATGATGTCAAAGGCAGCGCGCAGCTCTGGGGAGGGAAGTGACAAGAGTACTGAGTTCTTGGGAGGATGGGCACCCACCTTCCAATGTCTCGGTGCTCAGTCCTGGGTGGACTGTGGGCAGAGGGGCAAGAGAAATGGCTGAGGCCATCCTGGATGACCCGCTGCTCTAAAACGCCCCTCTACCAGGTGCTGCCTGGACAGGGCCCGACCCCAGGAGTGGAGCCAGGTCCCAAAGCCTCATGGTGCATCTTCGTGTGCCATAAAGCAATTACCCAGCTGAAAACACAGAACCACACATACATGATCCTAAATATTCCATGGACAACTTGTTAGGTGCTGAAAACACAGAACCATACATACATGATCCTAAATATTCATTCCATGGACAACTTGTTAGGTGCTGAAAACACAGAACTACACATCCATGATCCTAAATATTCCATGGACAACTTATTAGGTGCTGAAAACACAGAACCATACATACATGATCCTAAATATTCATTCCATGGACAACTTGTTAGGTGCTGAAAACACAGAACTACACATCCATGATCCTAAATATTCCATGGACAACTTATTAGGTGCTGAAAACACAGAACCATACATACATGATCCTAAATATTCATTCCATAGACAACTTGTTAGGTGCTGAAAACACAGAACCACACATCCATGATCCTAAATATTCCATAGACAACTTGTTAGGTGCTGTCGAGTTGGTCAGACTCATAGTGACCATACTTTGTACAACAAGATTGCAGCCATTGTGCCAATCCTTCTTTCTGAGGGTCTTCCTCTTTTTCGCTGACCCGCCACTTTATCAAGCACGTCTCCCAGGAACTAGTCCCTCTAGAGGTGCTATGTCCAAAGAGCTACCGTGTTTGCTGCTGATTGTGACTCACAGCGTCACTGTGCACAACACAGGCCACACTGCCGGCTCCCACACAATCGTCAGCGACAGCATCATTGGCCTGAAACATGACAATGCCAAGTCATCATGTGGGGGGAACTTCCTTCACTTTACCAAGCACGAGGTCTTTTGCTAAGAACAGGCCCCTCCTGAGAACATGTCCGAAGCACCTGAGCCATGTGCTCGCCAGGCCGGCTCTAAGGAGCACTGTGACTGCACCTCTCCCGACACCCATTTGTCTGTTCTGGCGGCTCATGGCACTCTCAGTATTCTTTGCCAGCACAATTCAAAGGCGTCGATTCTTCTCGTCTTCCTTGCTCATCGTCCAGCTTTCACATGCATCTGAGGCCATTGAGGACACCAGGGCTTGGGTCAGGAGCACCTTAGTCCTCAAAGTGACATCTTGGGTCTTAAAGAGGACTTGTGCAGATTTGCCCAATGTGATACTTTGATTACAGAGCCGTGCAAAATGAAGTCTTTGACAACTTCAATCTTTATGTGAGGTTTTAAAATTTATGTTTAAGTAGAATGCACATTGAAAGCTGGAGTTAAGTGCTTCAGGTCCTCTTTGCTTTTGGAAAGTAAGGCTGTGGCATATACTTGAGTTTCCCTCTAATCCTGATGCCACGTTCTTCAAATAGTCCAGCTTCTGGGATTATCTGCTCAGTACACAGGTTAAGTTTGGTGAAATGATATAACCCTGACACATACTTTTCCTGAATTTCAACCATGCAATGAACTGATCGGAAAATTCCCCCTTTAAAAAAAAAAAAAAAAAAGTTATCCATATGTCTTTATGATCCACACATCTTTCTGGTGATTTTTGCTTTCAGCCAAGCCCCACCTGACATCAGCAATAAGACTGCGTTTCATGCCATCTTCTGAATCTGGTTTGGATTTGCGGCAGCTCCTTGTTGATGTGCGGCTGCAGCCATTTTTGAATTATCTTCAAGCAAAATTTTACTTGCATGTGATGTAAATGACGTTGTTTGATAATTTCCAGCTCTGTTTGGAATGGGCACAAATACGGATCTCTTCTAGTCCGTTGGCCAGGTAGTTGTCTCCCTAACTTCCTGGCAAATTTGAGTGAGCACTTAGAGCAATGCATTCATTTGGTGAAACACCTGTTGGTATTCTGTCCATTCCTGGAGCCTTGATTTTCACAATGCCTTCAGTGCAGCCTGGATTTCTCCCTCTAGCACCTCTGGTTCTGATCACGTATGTAGCCTCCTGAAATGGTTGGACGCCTTTCAGTTCTTTTTGGCGCAGTGACATAGTATCGTCCTTCGATCAGCTTCTGATGCTCCTCGTGCCGTTCAGTATTTTGCTTTGATTCTTCTAACGTTTCAACAAGGAGCTCTGGTAGCGTAGTGGTTACAAATCGGGCTGCTTGCTGCAAGGTCAGCGGTTCGAAACTACCAGCGGTTCCGTGGGAGAAAGATGGGGCTTTCTGCTCCCATAAAGATTTACAGCCTCGGAAACCCTGTGTAGGGTCGCTATGAGTGGGAACCGACCCCATGGCACATTAACAACGTTTCAACTTAAAGCTCGAATTTTTTTCTTCCGTTTTTTGAGCTGGAGAAATTCTGAGTGTACTCTTCCCTTCTGGTTTTCTAATGCCACGTCTTACAATACTTCAGTGGCTGCTGCGTAAATCTGATTAGCTGATGAACTGGTCTTCCTTGACGCTATCAGTACTACCTTTTCACTGACAGCGTTGTACTGCAGGAGAGAGCTTGAAATAGACAACATCAAGGTTTTCCCCAGTTGCTAAACATTCTTTTATGCAGACGACACAACCTTGCTTATGATGAAGATCAAAGACTATACTCGTCAGTATAGATTGCACCTCAGTATCAAGAACACCCCCCCACAAATTTCAGTATCACGAAAAACATGGCATCAGGATTAGAAGACTCATTAACAGCCTGCTATATAAAGATGATACAACCTTGCTTGCTGAAAGTGAAGACTTAAAATACTTATTGATGAAGAACAAAGACTACAGCCTTTGGTATGGGTTGCACCTCAATGTAACGACAACAAGACTCCTCACACTGGACCAATAAACAACATCCATATAAATGGAAACCGGACTGACGTTCCCATAGACTTCATTCTTCTTGGATCAGCCATCAACACTCATGGAAGCAGCAGTCAAGATATCAAACGATGTATTGCATTGGGCAAATCTCCTGCACAAGACTTTTTTTTTAAAAGTGTTGAAGAGCAAGGTTGTCAGTTTGGGGATTAAAGTGTGCCTGACTCTCATACCCTCAAATGCATGTGAAAGTTGGACAAGGAATAAGGAAGACCATAGAATTGATGCTTTTGAGTTAAGGTGTTGGACATATTGCAAGTACCAATGACGGCCAAAAAGAACAAAGAGATCTGTGTTGGAAGAAGCGCAGCGAGAGTGCTCCTTGGA